CACAAGCAGTTGTGTGTGTGTGTGTGTGTGTGTGTGTGTGTGTGTGTGTGTGTGTGTGTTACATGGAGAGGAATCACTGCGGATGAAGGCAGTAACAGGGAATGCAAATGTAGAGGAAAGAAAAGGGGAGGCAGGAATAAGGGGAGGGCAGGGAGGAACCTGGGTACACACCCCGCCCCTGGCCCATGTGACCAGGGAAGTGCTCTTGGCCCAGGAGGAGGCTCAGTGCACAGGGAGGAGGAACAGCACATCCCACCCATCAAGATAGTGTTGCTTCGGAACATTTCTGGAATCCAAGCTCTTCCCACAGAGGGAGGGAAAGAGCAGGCAGCAGACATCATGCATTTCCTCTCAGCCCCTACCCACAGAGGACTTGTCCCCTGGGAGGGGCTCCTGCTGGGTTGTGAGAGGGGACAAATACCTGGTGGTGGATGGGAGGAGGAGAGGCTTAGGCTAGCTGGGGACTCCTAGGGAGCACAGGGCTCTCAGAGAAAACAAAGGGTAAGGGGCAGGCTTCTGTGTGGACTTCAGGGGAGAAGACAGGGGAACAGAATAGGGGGAGGGGACTGGGCAACAGGAAAATGATGTGGAAACCATGAGGGGCAGGAAAACCTCAATGGCTGCTCATTTCCCAACTTACTCATCACTGAGAGCTGAATGCTGAAAACTTTTGATAATAACAAGTTATGTGAGGAGATAGGAAATTTAACCAGTGGCACTAAACATTGTCCTTACCACCAATCTCAGAAATGGGCAGATACATCCCAGAAGGTGCAGGACCCTGCAGCACTCACTCATTCACCCACAGGTACTTACAGCTTGTTGCTGGCACTGGGGTGCAACAAGATCAGACAAGCCCCTGCCCCCATGAAGATCATGTTCTAAGTGGAGGAGGCAGACAAGGGAAGATCCAGATGTGATGTCAGGTCCCCACAATGCCATGCAGGGAACAGCCCAGGGACAGGTCAGAAAGTGAAGACAGAGGCCTTTAGAGGAGGTGATCAGGGAAGGGGTCTCCCAAGGACACCCCTGAGTGTCAGCAGGGGTCTGAGGGCAGACACCTGGGTAACAGTATTCAAAACAGAGGAAATGAGGGCAGAGGTGCTAAAGTTTTGGTGTCCACGCTGCTGACCTTGACCACAGGAGACACACACACACACACACACACACACACACACACACACACACACACACTCTGACCAAGGCTGAGAGATAAAGAGGCCTGCTCTGGACCCAGGACCTCACCTTTCCTTCCCAATACATAACTCCAATCTTGATCAATTTCTCTCTTCCCTCCTAGCCACACTCTTCACCTTCTGGAGCCTGCCCACCACTGCCCAGCTCACTATTGAATCAGTGCCGCCCAATGCTGCCAAAGGGAAGGATGTGCTTCTCTGTGTCCACAACCTGCCTCGGAATATTGGACGCTATACCTGGTACAAAGGGGAAATAATGGACAACAGCCGTCAAATTGTTTCATATAAAATAGACACTCAAAATATTTTCCTCGGGCCTGCATACAGTGGTAGAGAGACAATATACCCCAATGGATCCCTCCTGTTCCAGAACATCACCCTGAAGGACACAGGATACTACACCCTGCACACCACAGACAAAGATTTTCAGAGCATGCAATTAACTGGACAGCTCCGTGTATACCGTGAGTGATTGCACTCTGATCTCTGGGTGTCGGGTGGTGAACTCTACTTCACACACAGGACTGACAGTCCTGGACTCACTCTGCCTCCATCCCCCTCTGTATCATGTTCCAGGTTGGGTTTGGACATTTAGTGCAGGACACACACAGTGGAAACAAACATCATAAGATTAGAGTTTCCTTCCCAGATTCCAGCCCTGCAGACATTCTCCACAGAGAGAAGTCTGATGGGAGTGACTCAGCAGAGGGAGACAGAGGAGAATCTCAGTCCAGCCTCGGGCCCCATCCCCATGACCATGACATTGAGAAAGACCCTGCAGAGCTTGGTCGGGGCCTGGCCTGAGGGGACCCTGGAATCCTCACAGAGAAGTTCAGCCTGGGAACCCCTCCCAAAACCCCTGTCCCAGGGCTCCTGAGTCCGGGGAACCTGGGGAGCCTGTGTCAGGTTGGACTTGACCTCCTGGAAGGGCTGGGTGGGAGCAGTGGCTCTACTCCTGCTCACCAGCCAGGGCTCAGCCCCAAGAGCCACATCAGGACAGGGGCAGAGCCTTAGTCCTTCACCTAAGGCGGTGTCAGGAGAGCACAGATAGACATAATACCCCGTATCATTAGCTGACTCTTCTGAGGGACTTAGGAGACTCTGGAGGGAGGTCAGGTCTCCAGGAAGGAACAGAGGAGAGAAGATGCTCCTGACAGCTCCTCATCCACCAGGGGTCAGCCCAGGAATTCTCTCTCATGGAGGCAAATAATGGCAGTGGCCATTTAAGTCAGTGTCTCCTCTATACTGGGCTTGAGGTCAAGTATTCAGGGATGTTTTAATGTCAATTCACAGACAACATGGTAATCCAGAGTGCATTTACCATTTGTTCTGTTTTTATTCAGGGGAAACAGAGGCTCAGTGTGATACAGTCACTGAATCAGGCTCCACAGACACAGCAAGGTCCTTGCACAGCCACAGCCCCATCCTCTCCTCCACCACAAGGGCCTTAGTTGACTGTGGACCCTGAGACCAGCCCTTGGTTCAGTGCTTTTTCTTAGCAGGCCCCAGCTCAAGGTAGATTTTCTGGTCTGGTGATTAAGCAAATGGAGAATTAATTTTACTCTAGAATCAAATTACCTACAATAACATTCAGAGTCACTGCAGGGAATGCCCAGGCCTTCCCCGCAGGTTACGGATCCACCCCTCCCTACACTGCACTTGAAACCACTGATTTGTTTCCTGATGTGTTGGTGTCACTCCCACTGGCTATGAAGGAAAGGACTTTGCCTTCTCACTCTACTCCCTACACCTGCTACCAGCTCAGGGACCAGCACTCACTTGCTCTTTCATGAAGGAGGGAAGGAATGATGGTGAATGATGACAGAATGAATGAATGAATGAATGAATGAATGAATGAATGATGCATAATCACTAGAGAGACTGAAACCTCGGTGCAGAGTCCTAAAAGGTTTTGGCCACACCTGTTCCCTGTCCCTACAGGTGCTGAGAACTATGTCCATCCCTCTGACCACCTGTCCCTGAAGCCCCCTCAGGAGTCAAGTCCCTTGGTGGCTGTAGGGCTGTTCCACTGTGGGAAGGATTTCCAGGCTGCACTGCTCCTGCCCTGGGGCAGCTGTGGGCTCTTGGTCCCTGGGGTCTTTGAAGTCACTCATAAACTCCGCTGCTCACCAAGGACATTCTGCCCCTCTCTGCTCCTTCTGTGCCCTATCTGCCTCCTTCATCACTCCAGACACACTGCCCTGCTCTGCTCTTCTCTGCTTTTCCCACTGTGCAGATTGTCCTGCTAACATCTCTGTCCAGGCCCACCCTCTCAGGCAATAGGAGAGGACACAGAAATCAGTGGGAGCAGCAGCCCCGGCTTCATCCTGAGCCAGTTTCCCAGGTCACCAGGAGAAAGAGCATCTGCTGGGCCCCCATCCGGGCTCCTTACCCCCCAGAGGCCAACAAGAGGAACAGCCCAGAAAACTTGGTCTATGACCTTCGTGCTCTCTAGACAGAAATTCCTCCAAAAACTGGCATCAGAGATGGTAAACCTTTTGAGCTCGGCGTGTCAGCATTTTGAAAAACCCTAACTTAACTCTGGTGCCGTGTCACATATAGAGATTTTTTGATATTTGAAACCATAGTAAAACAAAGATTTATATTTTTGATATTTATTTTATATATTTAAATGCCATATAACAAAGAAAAATCAACCAAAAAGATGAGTTCGTGTGTCATAGGTTCGCCATCACTGCATTAGATCTTTGGGGCATGAGTGATTTTCAAATATTCTTTCACAGTTTAGCTCAAAATCTTTCTCACAACTGCCAAACACAAATGGTCCGTAAGGGTCGTATTTTCAGCAAGTTCATGCTCCCCCACCTCCACAAGCCCCCTTCTGTACCTGCTATTGTCTGCATGTTGAGGAAGGATCCCTGCCCTCTGCAGTGGCAGAAAGGACATTAAAGACCAAGGGCAGAGAGCCTGGCTCTGCTGCCACCGCCAGCCAGCTCCCACCGTCCCTCACTCTTTTCTAAATAATTCCTGGACTCGGCTCTGCCCTTTCTGGGGTCACTGTCTCATGTCAGTCACGAGTGACTCCTGGGCAGAGGCCACATCTCATGGCCCAGCAGCCTGGGTACTAAACTCACCACCAGACTTGCTTCTGGTCTCCCGTGTACTGTTTCTGCTCAGACACCCAGTTCAGGACCACACTACCCAGTCCTCTCAGGGTTTAAGGACTGTGGGGTGGCCCATCATTACTCATCTCTAGGTTAACCCTGAAATGTGAGGCTTCAGTGGAAACACATCTCAACCCGGCAATGTAGGTCTGTGTTGCTGGAAGGGACTCAGCTCCTGCACGTTCCAGGTGAGACACCAACATCAGGCAGGCAGTCAGCTGGTCAGTGAGGAACCAAGGCAGGTGCCGGGTGGTCTCTGACTCCCAGTCCTGCGTCTCTCTGTGACCAAACCCAGATAGTTGTCTGACACCTGATAAAGTCTGTGCTTTTTCTCCCAGACATAGAGCAGGCACCTTGCAATCAATCTCTGAGCGCTCAGTTCCTCATGCATTTGTTTGTCTTACGATGCACAGACCTGCCTTATTTCTTTAAGAACTCAAGTTAGCTGAGAGGCACCAATTCTGATTGAAGAAGACTTTGGAGGACTCAATGGGCAATGTTCTCTCTGTTTTCTGCACAGCGGAGTTACCCAAACCCAGCATCACAAGCAACATCTCCAACCCCGAGGAGTACAAGGACCCTGTCATGTTAACGTGTGAACCTCAGATTCAGGGCATCACCTACATGTGGTTGGTCAGCAGTCAGAAGCTCCAGGCCAGTGCCAGGCTGCAGCTGTCCAAGGACAACAGGACTCTCACTTTACTCCCTGTCACAAGGAATGACATGGGACCCTATGAGTGTGAAATCCGGAACCCCGTGAGCGCTGGCCGCAGTGACCCATTCACCCTGAATGTTTTCTGTGAGTAACTTTTGTTCCTACCTGGGCCAGGATCCCCACCCGAATCCACACTGCCAGAGGCCAGGCTACATCCGTCCTTCTCAGGTCCATGTACACAGACCCCCACACTGAACATCCAGGATGGCCATGACTTCCTGTCCCAGGCACATCTGGGCAGGCTCGGCCTTAAGCCAAGACTGGGAGGGGATGGGATAGTCCTGTTTGGAAAGGCTCAGGGTTAACAAGCTTCCATGGAACAAACAGGTTAATGTTTCAGACTCAGGATCAGTGAACACAGGGGGCTATGGGTGGGAATTTTTAAAAACAGGCTGTGACCCAGCTCAGAGGGAGAGTGTGGCCCTTACACAGACCAGGACCTTCCCCTTCCCTCTGATTACATCATGTGTGGCTTTGTTCTCTCTGCTCCAGATAGTCCGGATGCCCCCCTCATTTCACCCTCGGACTCCTATTATCTACCAGGGGCAAACCTCAGTCTCTTCTGTCTCTCAACTTCTAACCCACCTACAGAGTATTCTTGGCTTGTCAATGGGCGGCCCCAGCAACCCACTCAGAAGCTCTTTATCCCCAACATCACTGCACATGACACTGGATCCTATACCTGCCTCACCCATAACTCTGTCACTGGCCTCAATAGGACCACGGTCAAGACTATCACAGTCTCTGGTAAGTGCCTACTGGACCATCAGCACCAGGCTGTGAGGTGCAGATCTGTCTGGTTTTCAGAACAGAGACTAGAGGGTGTTGTCTCCCATCCTGTGGCCATGGACACAAGCAAATCACAAAGTCTTCCCCTGAGCCCTCCCACTACATCTCTATAGACTCTCCTCCCCTTGCTTTTCTGACTTCTCATGGCAGAGCTGTGGTCCAGCCTAGGAACGTGAGGAGGGGGTTCTCTCAGCCCCAGAAAGAGTCAAGTGGTAGGGGGAGGGGGTTTCCCAGAGGGGAAAACAAAGGTCCTCAAGGCAAAGTTGCTTCTTCTGTCACTAACACTTTCCTTCTGTCACCTCTTGTTTATTATCTGCTCCATGTGCTACAAGGAACATACAAGGCTTTGAACAAGCTCACCTCTTTTCCCCAAACTAAAGGATAAAACCACCTCTGAAGAGGGGAGAGCAGGACAGACCCCTGCTCCCTGCACTGCTCCAAGCTCACCTGGTGACTACCTGCTCTGTGCCCCCTGTGGTGGGACAGGGGTCCGTGGTGAAGGTGAATGGGTGGACTGTCCTCCGACTCGCGAAATCATGTCACCCATCGACACCATGGCCTCCCTCAGACCAGGTTGCATGGAAATGGGGAAAGAGAGAGCCACAGGGGAGACCCCTCTGCACTGTGTCCTGACTCCAAAGTCACCAGCTGAAAAACACTCTGTGACACAAGCATATGTGACATTCGTACAGAGAGCAGTAAACGGTGGTGCTTACTTCACAAGTAGGTAGATTCATGGGACAATAGGAGCAGTGCCAGAAAGTGTGTAGTTTACAGAGAAAGCTAAGAGTACCAGCTGTTGTTCAACCTGACTACTTCTCTCTAGGGATTTCCTTCTCCCTGATATTCAATCCACAGGCCAGGAAGTGAAAGTCCTATTCACACTGAGAAATCCTTTAGATTGAAACTTCTCCAGATCCTAAGGTCATGAAGACTGGCTGGGCTATATTCTCTAATAAATTATTTAACAAAAGGGAAGTGGCTTCCCATCTCTATGTATAGCCACCATACCAGAGAGGGGTTGTGATTATTTAGAAAGTCACAGGCAACTATGGAAAGAGTCACACAAAAGTCAATGGGTGGAAAATGCCACCTGGTGATGAAGATGCTGGACACACGGTCTACGGCTCCCAGTGCTAATACCTCAGATTTCCAGGGAGACAGGTCAGGGGTCACCCTGAGGTGATCTGGAGGTATGAGGGGAGATATAACCCTCTCCTTACAGACTGTCACCTGAACAAAAGTCCTCACCCTGCAGAGGTCAGAGTCCTCCTCTGGTGACCTTTACAGAGATCACTGTGGACTGTGAGTGGCTGGCATCTCTGGGGAAGGAGCCCACTCCCAGTCAGTCACCTCCTCTGTTTCTCCACTGAGCCAGTGGGAAAGCCCTCCATCAGAGCCAGCAATGCCACAGTCACAGAGCATAAGGACGCCGTGGTCCTGACTTGCCTCACCAATGACATGGAGATCTCCATCCGGTGGCTCTTCAAGAACCAGATTCTACCTCACAAGGACAGGATGAAGCTGTCCTGGGACAACAACATCCTCACCATAGACCCGGTCAGGAGGGAGGACACTGGGGGTTATCAGTGTGAGGTCTTCAAACTCATCAGATCCAGCAAAAGTGAGTCCCTCAGGCTGGATGTGCAACGTAAGTGACGTTCAACCTCTCCCACTTGCCTTTGTATATTTCACAGGCAGGGGGATGAGATGGAGCCTTGAGGAGGTGGGAGCCTCCTTCAGAGCCTATAGAGCACATGGGTACGAACCCCAGAATTAGACTAATCAGCATTGTCTCGGTTCTATGAGTCTAAGCTGTCTGACCACAGGGAAGGCTCTCACCGACCTGAGCCTCAGTTTCCTCATCTCTAAACTGGAATAAAACAGCTGAACAAAACAGCTGAACCTAAACACCGTTGTTAGGACATTTCTTGTGAGGTTAATGAGAATAAAACCCTCAGACAGGGTCATGATCAGTCAGGACTCAGTCAATGTACCTATTATTATTGTTATTTTTATAAACGCTGTTGTCAGTAGCTTTAAAGTCCAGCAGAACGTGTTGAAAATGTTGTTTATCACTCACCAGTTCTGTGACCTCCAGCCATTTATTAAGCACCTCCCATCCCTGATTCTGTGTGTGCTCAGTGGGGGTGACACCCCTGTCCCTCATGGGGGTGGAAGAATCAGATGACAGGAAGATAGAGTGTTTCCCACCCTGCTGGACCATTTAAAACACTCAGCACATTCTTATTACTCATCAACACTGAGTTGGCAGGTAAGGTGCCCGCTAAGACTGTCCATAGTGATGGAAAAGAAGAAACAGGGGTAAGAGACAGAATATGTGAGGGAAAGAGGAGTTAAGAGGAGAATTACCAGGACATGGGAATGGTGGGTGTGACAGTACGTGCAAAATTAGAGCCAATGGAAGGTTTCAAATGTGCCAAACAGAGAATGATGCAACCACCAGAAGTGGGGTGTCAGGAGGACTGACACTCCCAAACAGCACAGACTAGGTGGCAGTTCCTTCCTCCCTCACCAGGCCACCCCCTGCAAGGCCCCTCCGGTTTCTCCTGAGTGGACGTGGTCCTTCTCCTCTCCCCCTTTCCCTTCTCCTTTCAGCAAAACAAAACTACACGGGCTACTCTGTGGGCACCATCGTTGGCAGCGTGATCGGGGTCCTTGTCGTGGTGGCTCTGGGGGCCTCCCTGGGCTATTTCCTGTACCTCAGGAGGACGAGGAGGTACCATGGAATTTCCTTCACCCTCACCCTAATCCTGCCCCCTGACCCAGGCTAACACCCAGTGGAGCCCAGGCCAGGAAGACAAAGACCCCTTGCTCAGAGGGTTCTGGGCCGGCTCCCTGTGGCCTCCCATGGATGCCCATAATTTCCTCCATGAAGCTCCTCCCTCACCAGCTGCTGACCAGGGTGGTTTCCTCAACAGCTTCCTCGCCTATAAATGAGGCACAATTAAGGAACTGTTCCCTCAGGATTGTCCTGGTTTTCTCCACAAACCTGCAGTGGTGCCAGTAGGTAGTAAGTGCTCAGTAAGGCAGCTCTTGCTTTTTATCTAAGTCCACCCTCCTAGGTGAGGGGATGGGCTGCCTCAGGGTCTGAAAGTCATCCTGGCCAAGGCCACACAGCTGAGGGTGGAAGAGCCTGGACAGGCAGGGTTGGGTCAAATACCCCCACAAGGTCAATTTCGTAACCACAATCCTGATCTGTGAGACTGGAGGAGAGCAGAGCCTGTGGTGTGGTTTTTGCCTCTAGTTCAGGTGGATGGAGACAGGAAAGGCCACTGTCACAGTGTAGCTCTGTAGGCCTGAGGGGCGGTTCTGGCCACAGCAGGGCACCACACTCATCCTGATGCTACATGAGGCTGGCTATAAGTCCTGCAGCCTTGACCTTTCCACTAAGTCAGACCCTCGTGGTGGATTCCTGTCCTGGGTCCTCAGTCCCTTCCCTGGTAACTCCTCCCAGACCCCCATCTGCCTATGGGTCCTTTCCCTGTGGGCCCAGGTCAGCCGTGAATCCTTAAGGCCTTGCCTCAGTTCCCATCTCCTGGGCCCGTCCCCCCTAAAGAGTGGAAAGCGGCCTCCACCCTCTGCTGGGAAAGGAGACCCTCCTTGCCCCCTGTTGTGACACCAAAGCTCCCCTGCGCCCCTCACAAGTAAGTCTGACCTTTCCCTGGGCCAGTGACCCGCATGGTCTCTGAGAGCACCCACCTCCAGTGGCCACCCCTGGTGAGTGTCTGTTCAGCCTGGAGCCCCTGGGCCTGCCCCACAGTGTCCACCCCTGCCCTTGTCCCTCAGGCTCTGACCCTTCCCTGGGCTTCAAGGGGGATTCTCATCACCACTCTGCACAGGGGACCCCTCTCGCCAGTCAACCCTGACCTAAAGGCTGTGTCATGTGTCACCACCTCTCTCTCACTGGACCCTGAAATGGCCAGAGGATCTTGCCCTTGGTGATGACCTTTCACCCCTGGCTCTTGGGAGCTAAAGAACCACCTCCTCCCGGGTGGACAGACCAAAGCTTCCTCCCCGCTTGGGTGCTAACTCCTCCTGTCTCTGCTCCCAGGCCAGGGTCCCTCTGGAACCTCTGCCTTCCCGGTAAGTCCATCCCCTCCCTGTTCCCTCACCCAGGGCCTCAGTGACCCACGCTCAGGGCAGGGGCACCATCCAACCTCGCAACACAGCACAGACCCCTTCCCCAGAACAGCCAGCACAAGGGGAACCCTGAGTGGCCTAGAGGGGGCCCCAATCAGGGGTGGACCAGCCCTTCCCCATCCTGAGTCTTCCCTGGGTTCCTCGCTGGTCCTGAAGAGAATCCTGGAGTCCAGCATGGAGTAGAATGGGCACCAGGAACACCAGTTAGGGTCCCAGGCTAACAAGGGTGAGGGGGTACAATTTGGGCTGAAATTGGTTGCTGGTCTATAGGAGTGAAGACAGCTGCTCAAGAGCCAGAGCTGTCAGTCCTGCAGAGAAAACCCTCCCTCCCTGTCCTCTGATGCCCTCTCTCCCCCCTGCACAGGGCCCCCTATCCGGCCCCAAGACAACAGGCCCCATCTACGAGGTGAGTGTGGGTTATGAACATTCTGTCCTGCAGGTCCCAGGGGCCCCAGGAGCTGCCCCCATACCAGCCCTGGCTGTGCTTCCAGCCTCAGGAAAGGAAGTGAAAAGTGACAACAGAGGGTGGGAGGAGGAGGGTGCCCGGGGACAGACACAGCAGCACAGTCAGCCCCGATGGCGCCTGAGAAACACAGCACTTGTTCTGAGGAGGCTGCAGGGCTCAGAGATCTCATCTTTTTTTCACAGGAATTACTAAAGCCAAACACAGAGGTATACTGCCGGATCATCCCCAGAGCAGAAGTGACTTCTTAGTTCCTCCAGGACCTGAAACACCAGACCCTGTGGGGGGTCAGGAACGGATGAGGCCTGTGCCAGAGAACCAGCTCTGAGCATCAGGCTAAGTGAAATAAGCCAGTTGGAGAAAGATAAATATCACATGATCTCACTCTTTTGTGGAATATAATGAACAACATAAACTGATGAGTAAAATAGAACCAGAGGAAAAAATATTTTAGAGAACCAGCTCTGAGCCTTGAGGATATTTGGGACCTGGGCCTGAGGTCAGGGACCCTCCTGATCTCAGGAGACCCTGACAGGCCACCCTGAGTCTTGTTGGACCAAGATAAAGGCTCCCATCTTCCAGAAAGTGACCGGGCCTGTGCGCCACTCTGAACCACCTGAGTGATCTGAATATAGAGGACCTTCCCCTCCTTTGCTCTTTTCCTACCCATGGGAACTTCTTTTAGCAGAAATTCACCTAAACCACTGGGTCCTTTCTCTCTGGGGTCACACAAGGAAAACTTCTATCTAAGCTACCCCAGCGCCTGTCTCTGTTTCCTGGGAGAGGGAGGGGTGTGAGTGGGAGATGGGGGGGACAGGTTAAAGGAAAGTCAGAGATGAGAGGGGCTGCAGCCCAGCCAGGAGAGCACTCAGCTGTCCTCACACGGCCCAGGGACAGGCCATGGACACCTCCCAGCATTTGCTCCTCTGTACATGGGCCCTGCATCTCAGGAGCACAGAATAGGGGCCATCCTGTGTCCTCACAAAGATGAACAAGGATTGTTCTTTGGGGTCATTGCCTGCACCCAAGGGTAGGGCACATATCCTGGGTGGGGCCCCTTGAGTCTCTAGTGTCCTGTGCCTGTCCTTCCTCACACAGGCCCTGGTGTCCTCCACAAATTAATTTGCCTGTCCCCAAATCCAGGATCCCGGGTGCTGGGCTCTGTCCAGGAGTCCAGCCCCAGCGGTCCAGGGGTTCCCAAAGGTGAGGACAGAGTTGACGAAGAATGAAGGACACGGAGACAGCCTTCAGATGATCAGCATAGCCAGGTTCTCTTTATTGTCCTGTTACAGCTGTATTTTATACTACTCGATTCTATAAGCATGCCTCTATATCAAGGTATGTTTTGGGTCCTCTCCTGACCTTCTATAGTTCCTTGTTTTATGTTTATAGTTTCTTATCTGACCTTTGATAAAAATCTTATCTCTATCTAGCTCTGTTGATTTTAATCCTATCCATTCTATTCCAAAGATTGGGGCTAGTTTGTTATCTCCATTCCAAGGTCACTACTCTACTGCTCTACTGTTAAGCTACAAGGAAGTAACTGAAGGAGATTATTCTATTCTGTGGCCCAAGTAAAGGTTATGTCCTTTTAGCCTTGCTGGTGGTCTTCCTTGGGACTGCCCTGCATCGGCAGGTTTTCATAGGCTTTGGTACTTTCTCTGGTGGGTAGACCCCTGGGGTTGTGGGCCTAGCAAGTCCCAAATTTATTGCCAACAGTCTTAGTCTAAGTTCTTCTTAAGTAGTATACGGTATTTCTGTAACACTAGGGGGTTTTACTGATTTATTCCCTTCCTTAGTCCCATTAATCCCTAACTCCAGGGAAACATCTCCACCTGGGGAAACAACTTTTCTCGGGGAGGTGGCCCTGGTTAGAACACATAGTGCTAAGAAGGGGAGCAAACATGTTAAGAACAGTATGCCATATACGCCAGGTGCCTTGAAACATGCTGTGCAGATGTTTCCTCCCTGCAGCGACTATGTCAAGCAGCAAGGATGGACCAGCTTCCAGCATGCTTTGACCCAAAGGCTG